CATTGATACAAGAGTACTTGTTGGACACCTATTTCTTGTATACACTGTATTCACCACATCTTCTATCCAAAACTCATAACCAAGGTTTTGAGCATGAAGCATGTTCTTTTCCATCTCTATAATAGTTCGATTTGTCCTTTCATCAACACCATTTTGTTGTCGAGTGTATGGAATTGTGGTTTTTTAATAATTCCTTCATTCTTCAAATAAACATCAAATTGCTTAGACATGTACTCACTTCTATTGTCTATACATAGCACCTTAATCTTGCATTCACTTTGTTTCTCAACAAGTGCTTTAAATTCTTTAAATCTCCAAAAGCATTCACTCTTGGCTTTAAGAATATAGATCCAAATATTTCTTGAATAATCATCAATGAAAGTGAAAAAATACCTAGATCCTCCAATACTTCTATTCTTTATAGATCCACATACATTAGAATAGACAATCTCTAGTAACTTAGTAGCACATATTACTATGCTACTTGGAAATGAGGCTTTTTGTTATTTGCCTAATATGCATCCTTCACATGCAAGTTGTTTTGTATTTTGGCTTTCCTTACCAAGATCTAAGCTACTTACTATAGACTTGAGCTCTTTCATGTTCTTCACATTCAAATGACCAAGGCGACGATGCCATATATTTAACTTATCTTAGTTTGATGTAAACTCAACAAATGTGGTTACTTCTACTCTGTTCACCTTCTTACAAATGAGGTAGTACAAATTTCCCTCTCTAAAGCCTTTGAAGACCTTGTCTCCACTTAATGTTCTTACAAAACATCCATTCATATCAAATTAAACTTCAAAACCTTTGATTATAAGTTTACTCATTGAAAGTAGGTTTTGCTTCATTGCTACAAAAGCAAAAAGATGGAGAAGGAGAATATAAATAGTATGTAAGATGAGTTTGGAGGACATGATTATGCATTCACAACAATAAATAGAACCTCTATAGCTGCCATGTCAAGATGGATTGTAGATTCAAGTTATTCTAAACATATGACACCTTATAAGTATTCATTTGACACTTATGAGTCTATTCCAACATCAAATGTGGTGTTGGCGGATAGTGGCACATGTGAAGGCATTGGAATTAGCTTTATTATAGTAGAGGTGGTTGTGAATGGACAAACCAATAGGATCAGATTCAAAAACGTCTTTCATGTGCTTCAAAAACCTCTTTCATGTGATTCAAAAACGTCTTTCAACTTCACTTCTAAGACTTCTCACAAGTCTAATGACCTATCTAAATCTCTCAAATCTGTTTTGTCACTCAAATATCACTCTTGTCCTCACAAATCACCTCAATACACTACAAGAGACCTTTTAAGCACAATCAACATCTTTAAGACATGAAACTATAAAGTTAGACCACCAAGGATCTATCTCAGCAAAAATACAATGTAAGTATTTTATAACTTTGCCTTAAAGTAAAAAACCAAATACCAATACCAAAATGCTCTTAACCACAAGTAAGAGCAAACGAAGATCTACATTTAGATCTGAATATGAAAGTTATGTACTTCTAAATCCTAACATCACTAATGACAACTTGATCTATTCTACACATCAACAACAACTTCAAAGAACTTCAAAACACTCAAGCAAATGTGTGTGGGCCCATAATTTATTGAAGAAAAGAAGTCTAAAAGATACAAACACTTAGCATTAGCAAGTTTTGCACACAAAGAGAAGTGTGGAGTAAGATAAATCTTATTTCCAATACTCTTTACTTATAGGTGGTGATTGCTAACCAACAAGGCAACTTCCATCTTTTTGATATCATATGTATTTCTACTTCATCCAACTAAACCTTAAGTTCTTTCTTAACCTAGTCGCCACCTACAAATCCTAGCTGCTACTAAAATAACATCCTTTAATTCTTTATTATCTTTTGACTATTAGCAACATATTATGCTTAATCTCTATGTAGTTGTAACTAAGCAAGTACTTACTGATCTTCAACAAAATCATTATAAGATTTTTATTAATAACTTATTTTATAATAACTAAATTATTTTTTAATAGATTATATATATATATATATATATATATATATATATATTAATTGATTTCTATTTTGAAGGTTAATTTTAAAATAATAAGATTGATTTTTTAGTAATATTTTAGTATTTTTTAAAATATATCTTAATATTCATTATAATATCCTAAGATTATAGTACAATTGCTATTTGGATGAAGACTTGATATTACATAATTGACAAATGGATCTATTTTTTATAGATTATATAAATATCATAACTCTAACAAAAAGAAGTACAATCTCATTAGATCTAAGACATGTGTATTATAATGATATTTTCTTAGATATGTCAAGAAGAAATTTAAGACTAAAAAATATCTATTTTTTCTATAGATAATTTTTTTATTTTCATATTAAACCTAAAATAACAAAAATATTTAGAGATTTTATAATATTAAATACTATTAGGCTTTTAAAATATTTAACATTTTTGTACTAATAGTATTTTGTAATACTTATAAAAAAAATTCATTGAAAAAACCAATTAATGTACAAAAATACAATAAGACGAAAGTAAAAATTATATAATTTAAAATCTTAAATTAACTTATACAAAGAAATTAGAAATTAGAAAATAATTTAAGAGATAAAACAAGACCTTTATAAAATAATGTTGTATAAGAATCCAACCACATAGATCTTAATGTCATTAGAAAAGCTAGTTTTTGAATAGATTGTCATCTTTTAGAATCGTATATCTTGTTTTGTGGTTTTTCTGCTTCTTTAGATAGTATTAATAATATATTTTGATTTTCTAGAATATAAATAAAATCCTTCTTATTGGCATTGGATATTTTTATATTATAAATTTGAAGCACATAGAATCAATTGCATATCATCTACATTTGGCTATACATCTTGATTGATATGTCTGTTTTCTAGAGAAGTATAAAAGAATTGAGATGCCATTATATGATCTTTTTTTGTAAATCTTTTAAAACCAAATTATTAAATTAAAATAGTAAAATTAATTTATTCATTTAAATTTGAGAATTAAAAAATCTAAGAAATAATTTCTTTATGTTATATTATAAACCATTATTTATAAACCATTATTTATAATAAAATAGTTATTATAATATAAATCAAATACAAAGAAATTGAAAGTCATAAATTAAGTCTTAAATAAAATTAAGGTCTTTACAAGACTAAGTATAGTTTTGGTTTTACCTTTGTATATACTAGTTAAAAAGTAAGTCATGTAAAAGTTTTTTTAAAACCACAAGACTTATAGGCTAATATCCAAGTCATACAATGCTACTACAATAGTGTTTTAAAATATATAACTTTTTGAGAAAATTGCCTATGTCTATGTGGCACACTTAAGAACATATATAGATCTAATTTACATTTTTAAATATTTTTTTACAATAATTTAAAAATATATTATTTATGTAATATATTTCTACATATTTTTACTCAGAATTTTAATATAAATATTATTTATAATTTTATCAATTTTTTTTCTTAATTTAATTTTTTAATATTTAAAATAAATAATTAATAAAATTCAAATACATCTACAATCCTTATTTAATCCACTTCTACAACATTGCTTAGTTTTTCTACTACAAAACATTTATTTATTTATTTTCTTAAAATTGACTTCCTATATTAATCAAAGCATTGGGCATACCTTGTTTTGTATTCAAAAAAAGAAAAGGATCGACTTCCTGCATGACAAGAGAAACTCCCACCTTTAATAACTACTTTTTACCTCTTTCAAGGAAGAGAACAAGGCGGGTAGAACCTGACAAGAGAAAAGACATCTCGTTTCAAGTAAAGGCGCTTCTAGGGGTCACAATTAAAGGGCTGCCTATGAACTAACAAACAAACAAACAGACATGGCAAGAGTTTAACTTTCTGCAGAAAAAGGAGTTGCAGAAGACAGACACGCAACTACAGAGGAGGAGGAGAAGAAGAAGAAGAAGCTAGGAAGAGTCTATCTGGGCACATAGCAACAGCAGCAGAAGAATAAGAAGAAGAAGAAGAAGAAGAAGAAGCATTTGCTTTTGGCTTTGGCAGAGGTCAGTCAGTCCCTCCCTTCCTTGAGACAGGAATCCGTTTGCCATTCATTGGGTGTTTGTTGCATCTGCACTGGGTTTAGTGAAAGCTACGATTTCGGAGGCATGCACTTTTGAAAACCTATTTCTGTGGTTGTCATAGTCTGGAGGTGCAGACAATGTGAACTTTCAACGTCCGCTGGCATGGTGGTTGCTGATCTCATCAGTTTGTAACGTAGTGGGTGTCGTGGCATGTTCTTCATGTTGAACCAATAGAGTCTGAAATTTATATGGAAGAGTGAGCTCCAGCCCCTGATGCTCCATTCATCCTTGTCTGCACACGTTGTTTGACGGCACTCTTTAGGGAGGAGATTGGCGATGATGCGCACTTGTTGTCGGTGAAGGGTTTTCGGTCGCAGAGAATTTATCGCTGTGACCCCCCGTTAGGATCCTGGTGAGTTGCAGGGAAGAGCTGCCTAGGCAAGAATAAGTAGGGAGAATTTCACGAAATTCATCGCATTCATGGTGAACAATGTCAAAAGAAACTGAAATGATGACGCACAATTCATGCTCCAGTCGCACAGGGTATTGATTCAAGGACACTATCTTGGCGTATGCGAAAGTGATTTTTGAACTGCACAATAACTGAATCACCGAGATATTTTACCGTGCGCACTCGGTATCATCAGATGCTCATACTCAAGCTTCTGAACAAGTCATCAAATAACTGCAGCCTTCTACCCACATTTCTCTGCAAAGAGGTGAAAGCTACGACCTACATGATGTGAACATTAGTTGTGTTGAGGAGGGGACCACACGGAAACATCAGACCTGTGAAGTTGCACTCTAACAGACAAGAGGCACATGGTGGGGCATGGTAATATCATCACCATCACTAGAACAGACCAGATGTGCAGTGAAGACAAAAGATAACCAGACTGAATGCATACGTGAAGAGTAAGACAGCAAAGAACAGTGCTTAATGTATAAAAGATGGGTATTTACAAAAAGATTCATATAACGTCATCCAACCTAATCTGTGGGTACATCATACAGCTTGACAAGAAAAATTTGTCATTGAACGGGTTGATAAGCCCACTGCCTTGCGTGAGCGCTCTCGGCATGTAAGTGGCAATGTGCCACCCCAACAAACCCGATCCGTTTTCGCTATGGAGGAAAGAAAATGCCCTTTACATGCCTCATGAGGCGTGGGGTGACAGGCATCTGCAGAAAATCCCCAGCCCCTAAACCAGAAAATAGAAAAAATGCAACCTGTGCTGAGCAACTTTCTTATATGATACATCTGGAACACCCAACAGCCTAACGAACAAAATCCAAGGCTAAGACCCTGACTACAAAAAGCTGGGTATTCGGGAAAAGGTGTGGGGAATGAAGAAAAGGAAAATGTTATGTACATTGATAGCTCTCTTGCTGCGCAATGTTAATTCCACAGTGACTGTAATGTTGTCCAGTCGCTCCATCAACAGTCACCAACCTCGTTTCAGAATCAAGATTCACATTCGTTATGAGTCCTCCAGACTGTATCTTCTTCGGTGAAAATAGACCCTCCTCCAATTGTACCTCGTCAATATCCATTGGCACAACCCTGTTGCTCGTCTTAACCATCAGCTGTAATCCCTCATCCTCCCAGTCAGTGCGTAGGACAACAAACAAAATTGAGGCAGCACACGCGATTTGTGCTGCCAGAAGTCCATACCAAAGTCCCCCAAACCCTATTCTGAACCAAAAGGCTAGCGCCACTGCAACGGGTGTTCCAACTAAATAAAACGAACCCAAGTTGATGCTCGCCCCCGTCCAAGGCCTGGCACTACCACGGAGAACACCAACACCAGTCGTTTGGGGACAATTGCCAAGCTCACAAAGACCTATCAGAGGTAACACTGCTGCGGTCAAAGCCAACACATTTTCATCTTTTGTGAAGACGTGACCCCATATACCTCTCAGTACGGTGGTCCATGTTAAACTGACCACAGCGACGATAAGTGCACAGCTGAGGGCCACAAATGTGGCTATCCTTGCACGTGCAGGATTTCCCGCTCCAAGCTCTTTTCCGACTCGGGTAGATACTGAAGAACTCAAAGCCTGAGGAAATGTGTACATCAATGCAGTGGTCTGTATGATCACCCCCGTAGTTGCAACAGCCACCTGTGGGTTTGGCAAATATCCTGCTAGCAGCGTCACAATCTCGTACCACCACCACTCCAGGCAGACCGCCAAGCAACTGGGCAGAGCGAGTGTCAGTATCGGCCCCCAACCTCGCAAACATTCGGTGGACCACGGGACCCATCTGTCTTTCAACACATCTGAATACTTCAAATACCCTAAATTGAAGAAAACCATGTTGAAGTTTGTGCAGACGACAGCAATCGCAACTCCAGGCACGCCGAGATCCAGAATGAAAACGAAGAGAATGTTGAGAGGAACATGCAACACCACCGCCAGCGCTGAGCACCAAAACATTGGGGCAGCAAGCCCTACGGACTTCAAGTAGATCTTAAGTGGATGCATGATGCTATTCGCCAGCAAATCCGGAATGGTAAAGAAGCAGTACAAGCTTGCCATCGCGGTGATTTCAGGATCCTGACGAAGCGCCAAGAGTATACTTTCTAGATTATACCATAGCAAACTGATCGGAAGGCATGCGGTAAGGAGAATCAGGATAGTCCTCTGAAGCGCAAGCCCAATCAGGCGGTAATTTTCGGATCCGATACCTTGACTACATATTGGATCCATCCCTGTTGCGAGACCAGATAGCACTGAGTAGCCTGTAATGTTCGTGAAGCCTAGTGAGAGAGCACCTCCTGCGAGCTGCAAGCCGCCTAGTCTGCCTAAGCACAACACAGATACCATGGCCCGAACGTAAAGCACGCAATTCAAGGCAGCCAGCGGGCCTGCAATTTCAAGCAAATTCTTCAATTCTTCGAAAATCTGCATCCAAGACCAGGATCACTTAGCAAGCGCTCAACACATTTTAAAATGAGATTGTGTAATACTAATGTCTAAAAATCTGTTACAACTGAACGATCGATAAAAACGTACAACCAAAATCGAAATTCGTGTGAGAACATGACCACAGTTGCTAAACCCTGATACCAAAGATTCTGTTAACCCCATATATTCTTCGGATTAATACCTCAAACTCAAGAATTTCAGTAACTTGCGCATCTTGCATTAACCTCATATTTTACACGTAGTTAGTCTTAAAAGAATCAAACTGACTCCCACTGCTAGTAACAACAATCGATGTTTCAATACGAGAAGCCACGTCGTCCATTAAATTTCAGAGCTTTACTTCTAAAAGATATAGCTGTCGTTTCGGAGCACATGCTGGACTCGATAAGATAAAGATTTCGACTTCTACTGATCATACGATCCTCACAATCCTATATGAACATGCTTCACATGTGACCGGTATGGGCTATAGATCAATGGGCTAACCACCCATTACGCAATGTTCACTACAGTGGTCACCAATATTCCCATGTCTAGTAAATTAGCAGTTCAACTCAACAAATCGGAAATACTGTAACCCTCGAAGTTTAGAAGATATTTTGTGATGTACTACAATTGCAATGCCTGTCAATCTCGACTCCGAATTCCTGAACAATGAACAAATCAAGAGAACATGTGATGCAATCCTTGGATTCATCCGGGCCGTCCACAAGGTACTAGTTTAAAAAGTCACTGCTGTCCAGAAAACAAGGTTAAAAGGATGCAGCACTTCAAGGACAGAGACGTGGCACATTCCTTTGCAGGAGAATCATTACGAGAGTGATTAAAAAAAACTCTTGGTTGTCAGCAAAGGGACACACCCTAAGGCTGACCTCAAAGTGGAATGAAGGGAATCTCTCTTAGGCATTACTGTACAAATGCCTCAGCGTACGAATTTCAAGATGAATTGATGAAAGCCTAGCTTATCCGCGAGCTAACACTAGTTCCATAGCCCTGATAGATCTGTGAATATCGAATAACGAAAGAGGTAGCTGTTGGTCCTCACCCGACCTGGCAGCTAGCGTCCTTCGAAGCTTCAACAAAATATAGTCTAGAAGGAAAATCAGTTGTAGCAGGAACAATCTACAAATACAGTACCGGGATGATGCTTCCTGTTATACTGATCTTTCGGCTGAAGGAGAGAGTCACTCAGTTCCTTCCTTTCCTTTCCTTTCCTGTCCTTCCAAGAGCATAATCCCCAAAATGAGGGAGCAGGATCCTTGCAATGAATTAACTTCGTTTGGGTTTGAGGAAGAAGAAAAGCAAAAGGTCTAGCGTGTCCTTCTAAAAGACTCATACTCCAAAATTGTCTACAGATCCCGACGAGGGTGAAGAAACCAGTGTTATTCAGCTAGACATGAGGGAAGACGCCAAACCTGATAAGGTGAGGGACATTGTTGTAGAGGGTTTTCCTTGCATAGAGAAACTTCCGATTCATCGTCTGAAGAAGGCGGCGCCTTCGAGTGGACATGAAACAAAGGAATCGATTCATGGGAGTGATCACTGTCCGATTCATCATCCGAAGACGGTACGGCTCTCTCCCTGTCAAATTTCATTGGATTACGCATACTTGAATCCAATAATCCTAGAAATCCGGGTTTCTCGCCTACAAAGCTCTCCAATTCATCGTCTGATGATGGCGGTGCCACTAATTGGACCTGTAGTAAAGGCTCCGATTCCCTGAAGTCACTGTCTGATTCATCATCCGAAGACTGCACAGCACCCTCCGTGTGAAATTGCACAGGATAACCCATACATGAACAATTTATCAACAACCCAGTTGATTGCTTCTATTTATCAGTTTAAGAAACCCACGCTAGCGTCAAGGATCTCACGTCTCCGAGTGAACGAGAACTTCGTAGACCACCCGCAAGAATCACGACACAAGACACCGCTACCGGTCGATATGGAGACGAGGACGATTACCACGAGAGGGAGCAGATAAAGAAGTGAAGCTATTAGAGTTGGCCGTCACGCTCAGATGCGGCAACAGAACCTTCCCGAACTCTTCATAACAGAGTCCTCCCAAACTTCGTCTTCACAACTATCCTCACTGTCGAACTTCGAAACTGTATCACTTACAGAACAAATTTGGAACAGGTTCGGTAGCTGTACGAGTCCACAACAAACGACACAAGACAGAAGGGGAGTAACTCAAGTCGGACTAATGAGAGAAAAAAAGATGGGGAGACAGACGTGACTGAATCCGCACTAAGACACTCAAGTCGACACTGACAGGAGCGAGTAGGCAAGCCCAAAATGGACACAACTCGACGTGGTCCACAACTTGCTCACTGCTTCAAGAAGGTCCACAAAGGTGCGCCTATTACATCAACAATCAAGGTGAAGGAACTCAGAGCGCTACTGCCTCACTACATCAGCAACCGCGCTTGTATATATTCCCCATCAAGAATCAGAAGATTCAATCAATCGTGGACTGATCACTGCGCCATAAACCTCTCGCAAGCCCCTACTACAACGACCACGCTTTATTCTGCAGTAACGCATTACCCGAACCTCGTCGACCTAACCAACGCAACCGCACGAATGCCCTTTACCCCAAACTTCAAAAAACTAGCTCACTTGTGCTCAGTCACGTCTTTCTCTTTCTCTTTCTCTTACTCACTCTCGCTCTCTCCCTCTCTCTTGGCCAGAATGAAGAGCAGGGAGGGAGTAAATAACAACGTCACAGCCAGGCAAGGGGTTAGAAGAAGAGGAAGGAGAAGAAGAAATGCTTGAGGTGGTGACCATGAGGAGTGTTTGAGAAGCAAGCAACTTGGGGAGTGACCCAGTTAGACTAGAAGTGAATGGGAAAAGAAGAAAAAAGAGGCTGAAGCTGCGAGCGAACGTAGAAGGTGGTGGTCTTTTCTCTCGCTCTCGGTCGCTCTCTCTCCTTCTCTCCCTCTCGGTAGCTCCTGTGCTCTCATCAGTAGCCGCGCACTGCGCAGACCCGCAAGCTTTGCTCGCCCCCAGTAGTAACCACTGGCCCCCACTCGAGTCGCGCACGCTATTTCTACTCCATTCCCCCAGTAGCCTCATCATCACTCTCCGATTGCTACAGTCTCACCCTTGGAATCTAACCCCCTCCGTTACAAAAGTGACTACGAGCCTCGGCAACATTGCACCACCAAATAACCCGGAATACCCAAACAAAATAAATAAATAATAAGAAATGAATCAAGAGTCGCAGGGGAAAGCGAAACTAGATTCATCCAAAAAAATTACACCACCCCTATTTCCAAGGTGGAATTATCTTCTTCAGTCAGTTGGAATCCAAAATTGGATTCCACGAAAGGGCCCGCGGCACGGCTATTGCACGAACCACCCCTCCCCTCCCCTCCCCCTCCCGCTTCTCCTCATTTTTTTATTACTTTGTGTTCCGGATAATTGAACTGGGAAGGTGGGCGCCACCGCGTCACGCTCCAGACGCCTTCGCTCTGCGATGTGGACTGACCTCCCTTCACTGACTCCCCCTCTTATTCTTTACAAAAATCCACAGTGCATTCTCTCCCCCTTCACGTTTTCACACACACCAGTAATCTTAACACAATTATTATTATAGATATTATTATAATATATTCTTCCATATCCCAAAAGGCAGGCAAGCAGGCAGGAAGAGAGCAGTTTGGGAGTAAGGGCAGGCACTCCGCGGTCCCGACTCTAGCCCAGCAATCAGAACCAGGCAATACTAGATCCCATTCTCCTATTCTGTCTGCCTGCCTGCCTCTGCCTGGGAAGTGAAAAAGTGGGTCTCCTTCCCTCCCCCAGCTCCCCTCCTGTACTGTAGCACAAGTCACGACGACGAGGAGAAAGAAGGGAGAATAGCAAACTGCTGCTGCTAATATTCTTACCGCTGGTTTGCTATGCACCCTACAAGGCGGCATCAACCCCCCACCTTCATCCCCACTTCCTTCCCGCCACCTTCTGTCCCTCCCTCCCTTCCCTCCATCCGTGCTGGATGGCGCGGCCTTGGCTGTGCTCGGTCCACAGTAATAGGGTATCGAATCCCCATGGGCGCGGAAAGCATGGGGCTTGGAATGTGGGCTGACTGCTTCACGCGTTCACACTACGGCTTTGGAGATGAGAAAAAGCTTTCGTCTCAGCTTCCCCTCTTCACAAACCCATCTTGACCACAGTGTGTGTGTGTGTGTATGTGCCCCAACATGGGATTTTGAAGAGAGCCCAATGGAAAGGGATGATCCCATCCTTGTCCAACACAATTTTAATCGTCACCTACCACGTGGTAATGCCAGACCCATGTATGCCCACTTGACAGGACCTCACCACATGTGGGTGGGCAATATACATACTCTACTCCATAGTTGTAGAAGTAGTAGTCAAGGAGCAGCTTCAATGTGTGTTGACAAAGTATTTTTGTGATCCCACCTGGGGTAGCAAGCACCCCCCTCATTCATTCATTCCCCTCTTTCATCTCGCTCTCACTTTTGTTCTCCCATTGGTAGAGTCCAGAGTCCCATGGAATTTTCTCTAACTCCCTGTTCTTTCATGATTTAGGGTTTTTTTCTCTTACATGATTTGACTTTCATTTTGAAGACCCTCGTCAAGCATTGACCAATTTGGATTGGTAACTGCAAATGGGTTTTTTCAAAGTTCAATAAATGATCACCACAACTTTGTAAAACGTTCTCCTTTAAAAAGCCCACGCAGTTGCAAGATGTGTTAAGAATTTTGATAACAGCTACAGATCTTCAGATTTTGGCCACAGCTCTTTATCGACTTTAAGATCGGGTTTTGGGATGCTTTGAATATGATCCTAAATAGTTCATGTGAATTGAAAAGGACTGATTATTGGGCAATAGATTTTGTTACATGTCAGTCTTCCAATCCACCAAAGGATTCCCCCTAAAGCATTCAACATGACATAAAAAATAAAAAATAAATAAAAAAAGTGAAACAGAAATTAGTATAAAATAAAACTCCTTTTCTTTTCTCTCTCTTCCTTTTTGCTATCTATATATGTTGGATTGGAACCCTGATCCCATTCTCTTCATTTGTTACTTTTTGAGAGCATTACTTTTTCCCTTTTACTTTATTTCTTTCTCTTTATTCATTCATTTCCCTTTTTTGATTCTATTCTCTATTTTTTTATATGACTTCCATAAATCCAAAACAGGGCTATCCAAATTTAGTGTGGTTTGGACAATCATTGTTCTCAATTGCCAATTGCAAAGGTGATGCCAGCTTCTGTAATCATGTTGGGGGGACTCTTTACATGTTTGTTGATTCCAGTGCCTTGAACACAGAGAACAAAATGAAACTCATTCATTATCACAAATATGGAATAGTGCAAAGCCCAATTTCAATAGCTTCATGAAATGGGTGCAAAAGCAGTTTTTGCCAACCCTTTGAGTACCCACAATGGATGGTTGATCCTTGATGATCCATTAATCTTTGGTGTTTTTCACATGGATTTCAATCATCAATAGTGATTTATCTGCAGTGATTTATGCTTGTATATTAGGATTGAAGCAACTTAAGTAAACTAAAAATTATTTGTGTTCTGTAAACAATGTACTTCCTTCATGCAAAACATAACTGCCAGTCAAATTGAACCAGGAAGTGGCACCAGTTCTCATACAACATCCTTTGTTTTTCCCATAAATGCCAATACTCTCCATATTCATTTTCAAAGTGGTTGAAGTGTATAGATGTTGGGGCTTAGATTGTGTTTGTTGAGTTGGGTCCAACAATGACATCAATTTCTGTAGGAAATTTTGTTGTTTTATTTTCCTCTGCTGATTGTGTTAAGGTGAAGGAATTGTTCACATAAACACACAAACTACATGGTGGTAAAATATATATATATATATATATATATGTGTGTGTTGATAATTTTTGTCTTTGGAGGCATGTCTTCTGTGAGTATCAAATAAATTAGAAAATAAGAGCAATTGCAAACCTTACAAGATTTAAGTTATATTAAAAAAAAAATTGAAGACTTGACAGATCAGAGGAAAAAACCCTCCTTTGCAGGCATTCCAAATATTTGAACTAAAGCTTCCAGCAGGCTGCTCTAAAAATACTACCCACTCACAAGAGGAAAGGAGAAACAAAAGTATACAAAAAGTGAACTTTTTCCTCCTTTCCTTGATGTTTGTATGAGGTTGAGTTATCATTGCAATGTATGTATATATATATATATATATATATCTGTTTATGTATTTGTATGTGTTTACTCTCAAACTTGATTATTATAGCATGTAAGTTATTTCTTACTACCTGTAAATTTTTACTTTTTTCATAGGAATAAATGCGTGTACAATTGACTCTCATTATAAAATAAACAAATCTTCTTCAGAATAATAACCTTTAAAACTTTTACAACAACTTAAAAATTGCATGTTGCTGTACAAACCTACCACAATATATATATATATATATATATATATATATATATATATGTAATCCATAACATAATCAAATCCCTTGTTTCTTCAACCTTAGCCAAAGCGTTCCACATGGATCAAAACAAACTATTAATAACTTTAATTATTTTTCTCAAACACAAGCATGTATTGTTGTAAGTGATAAGAATCTTTTTGTTCAGAGAGAGATCTATTATTATAAAAATTAAAAGATTACTATATATTTTTTAATTTAATAGTCATATTCAAGAAGCATATAAAATTGTTATTTTTATGAATTATAAATATATATATATATATATATATATATGATACGAAAGGGCAGCAACAGGGGGTGGAGAAGGCAGCCTTAAGGAATGCAACGCAAACTAATCCACAAAACGCATTTCGAGGTCTCGGTCCCATGGCCGCGACTCCTGGAGCGAGCTTAGGTCCCCTCCAGCTGTAGGTGGGGGGAATATATTTGGAAGAGAGAGAGAGAGAGAGAGAGAGAGAGACCTATCCCTTTTCACACCACACGAATAAGAAGAGGGATTCCGAAGTGGAGGTGTGTGTATTTGAGTGTGTGTTCGCAGCTGGCTACTCATGCACCACACTTCTTCGACGAAAGGGGAAAACCCTAAAATTGACGATGATGCTGGTTTGCGAGCATTGCATCCCCCTCCTCCTACGCCGCAGCAGCAGCATTTTGTTAACCACGGTGCGTCTGTCCACAATAGGGCATCACCGTTTCTGTTTGGGAGGTCCAAGTTCCAAATTACCGTAGTTAGGCTGGTTCTGCGCACAAGGGAGGTGGGGGAGAGATTGTTTTCTTAGATTCCATTAGATACCGTGCTGGAATCAGTGGAAGCCCACACTGTCATTACCCTTCTTTCGGATGTATCCTTCATGGAATCACTGCTCTGAATTCCCCCTATCTAGGAGCGAAAGTCACGGCAGCCTGGATGAAGTTGACGTTGGTGCTGCCTTTGTCGAGAAACCGCCCATGCTCACAGAAGCTCTCGAGGATGCGTGATGGAGTGGTCCGAGACGGACGATGGATCCCGTGTAATTGTATTTTTATACATATTCCTAAACACTGCAGAAAGCTGCGGAGAGAATACACGGTGTCTGCAATCCTCTATCTCTCTCTGCTAAGCACCATTGCCCCCACCCCCCCGTGTTTTGTTTTGTTTTTGCTAAAATTGTGCTTCCAACAATAGCTCCGCTGGAAGTATGTAATTGGAAGCTTTAATTTGGCGTCCCCCCCTCGGTTCCCGGGAGAGTGACTTCCAGAATTTGTCTGGTTCCAAGGGAATAGACCCGAGCTAGAAACACACGGCAAATTCATCGCTGCCTTACCGCTTTGGACCCAGCTGCGAACCTTGTGAACGACATGTAGCAATTCTAGCGCAACTTCAGTGAAACAGAGTCAGCTATTCTAAGACAAAATAAAATAAAATAAAATAAAACAAAACAATAGGGAAGGGAAGAAAACAAGCATTACCATAGACATGCACTCAAACTCTTTGCACAGGTTTTTGTGCTCTGGTCATAATCAGCTTGATAAGGGCAAATTAGCCCCCTGCTGCGCCACACTCG